GGGCAGAGGCCAGGGACAGGGGCTTAGGAGGACTTGGGACCTGGGGACGGTGGAGGTAAAGACCTCAGGTTCACACTAACAGAGCACCGAGTCTTTACTGGGCAGCCCATTAAGTGCTTCCAATATAGCACCTCTTTAGTTCACAGTCCTGCCTTGTGATGAGAAGCCCTGCTGAGACATGAGGCAGGAGGAGGACAGAACTACAACTGGACCACAGCCCGGTCACTGTGACGCTCCATAAAGTTACAAAGCTGCCTGTAATCCCAGCACTTGGGAAGCTGAGGCAGGAGGATCACAGTGAGTTTGAGGTGAGCCTAAACTATTTACTGAGACTCAAAAACAAAAAACAAAACAAAAAAAGATCATAAGCCATCAAAGAGAAGTCTTTCCCTTAAGTGCTTTGGTAGAGAAATGAGGAAGGCAGACACATGAACCACCTACCTGAAGGCGTAGGTCTTCTGATGCCAGCTCAGCTGTCCCCGGATGCTGTACGCGATGGTGGTGACAAATTCCCCGCCCAGTCCCAGCTCTGAGCACAGCTTCAGGGCAAACTTCTCTGGCGAGTTCTCCTTCTCCGACATGTCCCACTCAAACTGGTCCACCAGGGAGATGTTTCCCACATGGATGTTCAGCTGCAGCGAGATCCAAAGCCACAGGTGAGAGCAGGCAGAACCATCCTCAGCCCGCAAGGCATCAGGATGTAAAGACGGCCCACAGCTCACAGGTGAAGAACTAGGGCTGGCCCTTGTCCTTCCACTTGCACAACTGCAAATCAGAGCCAATCCCACAAACCCCTCAGGTTGCCGTGAGGGGCTCTGGCTCAGAGCCTGGCAGTCGCCATCAAGGAAGCCCTGAAGTGCCTCCAGGACACCTGACTCTACCTCACCTCTATTCCCATGGCCCTTATACCCCATGTTTGAGGGTATCCTCTTTTCTGCCCTTCACCCCTAAGTCAGTCAATTTTTAGATGACTATGTTGGCCAGACAGGGTTAGCTCAAGCGTCCCAGAACCTGCCTTAAGCCATCCTCTTTGCTTTACAGAGCTTGGCCCTCTCAGAAGTCCTCTCGCCAGGTGTGTGTACCGGCCCCCAGCACAAGGTGGCAGGCAACCCAGGGAGGGCAGCAGAAGCACTGACAGGCTCTTCCCACACCCTCCAGCAGATCCTTCCTGGTAGGTGACACACAGCCAAAGGTGCCCAGGACTCAGACATGCAGCTGGGGCGTTTTCACACGTAGAAAGCTCCCTGATCCAGAGAGAACACAGCCTGACCCCGGAAGCTCCCACCATGCCCACTCTAGCAGCTGCTATGCCTGTTCCAAAACTGGACATCACTGAATGACAAAGATTGGACCCCCTGGGGTCTGGCTTGTTCCCTCACCGTGATGTCACCCCACAGCAGTAGGGAGTTGGGACCTCCCTCACGGTTGTCTACTGTTCTGCTGGGTAAGCAAGCCATGGTGAACCTGCTCATTCACTACTGTCCCTTGTTTTTTTGGGAGGGGGCGTTAGGGATTGAACCTTGGGCCTCACACGTCAGGCAAGTACTCTACCACTGAGATACATCCTTGCCATTTTTAACTTTTTATTTTCAGGCAGGATCTTGCTAAGTGGTCTAGTTTGGCCTCAAAGTTGTGGTCATGCTGCCTCAGCCTTCCAAGTAGCTGAACTTACAGGCCTGCATCCCTGCCTGGCTCTCCACTGGTTTTCATGACACGGATCAGAGTGGGCAGAGGCATGGTGAACCGCTTGCTCTAAGAGCCCAGCTCTGGCTCAGCCCACCTGGAAATTTTTACCTCCTTTCCTGGTAAGGTGGGGGAGAAGCCCCAACCCCTGACCATATTCATGAAGCGCTGTGCCTCTGAACCATTCACACCACATTGTATTCACTGGCAGGTTCTACCCTTTGCCTGGGGAGAACCAGCTGCCTGCCTTTCTCTTCTCTTTCCTTCTTTTCTTTTGTGGGACTGGGGGATGAACCCAGTGCCTTTGCAGAGGTACACCCTCAGCCATTTAATTAATTAACATTTGTACTTTGAGATGGGGTCTCACTAAGCTGCCCACGCTGGGCTTGAACTTGCCATCTTCCCTGTCTTCCTGCTCAGCCTCTCCAAGCGTCAGAATTACAGGTCTGCAGCACCACACTCCGCTAGAATCAGCCTCTTATTAGCACTCTGACCTCCACTAAAAAGCTGGCTCCGAAGTTCTTCACGCCCCTTCTGCGCCTCTCTGCACCGTCTTCCACACGGCACTTGGGATTTGCGAGCCCATCTTAGTCATCCACCACTGTTTTCTGTTTCGGTCATCCCCTGAGAACCAGGACTCCCCAGCATGGGCTCCAGGGCATTTATTCTGGGAATCAACAAATCCTTGTGACACCACTGGCAAGCGGAGGAAGCAGCTGAGGTGGGAGTCACAGTATCCTCCACCCGGCCCAGAGCTAGGTGGCGTGGGCTCAGTCCATCCCCACCCCCCAGGCCTCTGCGCCTCCACGCCTGTCCATACCCACAAGCGGGGAAGGTTTCTGGGATACAACTGGAGCTGCCTCTTCCCACCAGACAGCAAACGCAGAGTAAACCATGTGGACACTGGGCCGTAGAGAACGTGCAGCAGCAGGTGACTGCCGGAAACACACAAGCAGGACCCAGCCAGACCCAGGGTGCGCAGTTTACACCCATCAGGCCGCCTGCCCTGCCTCGTGAACTGTGCTGCCCACCCGGCCATGTGGTCACCAGTACAGTCATTGATTCAAAAGTACAGACTCCCAAGGAGAGGCACAGGGGACACGACCCTCAAAACGTCATCCCGATGGGTCAGGGAGAGAAAGACACTGTCCAAGCGAGACGAGTGAACACACGGTGGGGCAGAAGTGTGAGGCTGTCAGGGAAATGGAGGAAGAGCAAAATAAAAGACAGGAAGTGGAGTTAGATTCTATGAAGATGGAGGGGATCTGCAGATGGCGGAGATGGAAGGGCGAGGAAAGGAAGTAAGAAGGATCCCAGTGTGGTATGTGTACTAATTCCCCACTATGAACGTACGTACTATGTATCATAAAAACGTACTAATAAAAAGAGGGGGTGAGGGAAGGCTCAGAAGCCAGGCCAGCCTCTGCAGTCAAAGGCCAGGAAAGCCCCCCAAGGGAGGTGGCCTTCTAGGAAGAAATGGGATGAACCCAGAGAGCAGGCCTGTGACTCCCCAGGGCAGGAGTTCCCACACACGGGCGGCCACAGCAATGCAAAGGCCTGAGGAGGGCCTGGAAGGGCCTGCCTTCCACAAAGGGTGCTGGGCAGCGTCTACTTCTGGGCAGACAGGACACTAGCACTGGTGTAAAGTGAGGAGCAGCTGGACCACAGTAAGCTGGGCCGGGACCTCCCAAGGAGGTATGAGGCAGGTCTGGCTCCTGCTATCTACTCCGAATCCCCTGGAAGTGAGTGGAGCCAACCCAGGCCAGGTACCCTCGTAGCAGTGGTCAGACCTGGGCTTTGGTGCTGGCATTGCCAAGAATATCTGAAAAAGACACTCCTTGGGTGGCACTGCTACAAAGATTCCTGTCCTCTATCCTCTGTGTCCCAGAATAAGACAAAGAAGTAGAGCCTCACAGAAATACCCAACTCTTCTGAGTTCTAGACAAGGAGGGACCTTCAGTGTGACCTTCAGTTCCTCACCTGAAAAATGGGTCCCTGCCTTAGGGATCATGATGCTCACAAGGGCCCTGGCCCAATGAACACAGCACCTCCATCCCATGCAGCACAGACTTCCTTGGGCTGTCTGTATCCAAGCCAGGGCACGCAGCCCAGCCCTGGCAGGACAGGATCCTGACCTAGGGACCTCTCTCAACAGTTTACAGCCCACACCACCCCACAGGTGGGAATTACAGATGACTCAGAGGGATAATTAGAAAGCCTCTACTTGGGGGAACAGGTGGTAGCCCTGGAGGATTTGTACCCGCTGGAGAACTTTATGTATGGCTGACTCATAAGTCTTGCCAAGATAACAAAAAAAAAAAAAAAACCAAAAAAACAAAACGGTGTCAATTCTGAGAAAAGGGGGCTGGGGATTTAGCTCAGCGGCACAGCGTCTGCCTGGCAAGTGCAAGGTCATGAGTTCGATTTCCGGGACTGGGAAAAAAAAATTTTTTCTGAGAAAAATGTCAGGGAAGTGGGCTGGATATGGAGTGATGGCTTCTCCTAAGGACCCTACAGGGGACTGACCCCAGCCACTTGGAACCACATGGTTAGGCGGGGCTCGTCCTACAGCTTCATCCTCACCAAGGGTTAAGACAAAGATGTGGCACAGAGCAGGGACCTCCAGTGCTGCCCTCTGCAGCCAGCAGGCTGTGCTCGAGGACACAGGCAAAGCAACGTACACTGTAGCCCCAACAACCCCATTGCTCTCTCATGATGTCCCTTTCCTTCTGAATTATGCCCCCTTCCCGCTAGCTGGCCATAATGTGAAACTAAAATGAGCTAAAGTAAACAAATTCATCTTTCTCTCAAATGCAAAGTATTAGTGAATAAGGAAATGACTGAATAAGGCATCAAAAATCTCCTGAGAAGCCTGGCACGATGATGTACGCCTGTAATCCCAGTACTCAAGAGGCTGAGGCAGGAGGAACTACAGTCTGAGCTACGTGGCGAGACCCTGTCTCAAAAAAAAAAAAAAGAATCTGCTGAGTAAGAAAAGTCCTAGATCTATCTAGTAACTTCACTGGTGAAATCTACCAAAGAACTAACACAAATCCTTCTCAAACTCTCCCAAAAACCCGAAGAGGGGGGAACATTTTGCAGCTCACTACCCTGATACTACAGTCAGTTGGACACTTTAAGAAAAGAAAATCAGAGCCGGGTATGGTGGCACATGCCTGTAAGGCCAGTACTGTGGGAGGCTGAGGCAGGAAGATGTCAAGTTCAAGCCCAGCCTGGGTAATTTAGTGAAACCCTGTCTCAAAAAAAGGCAGGGGTACACTGGGATATACCAAGGCTTTCAATTCTGAGTAAAACACCAACACATGGACACACACACACAGACATATACACACACACACACACACACACACACACACACACACACACAAATACAGGAAAGGAAAATCGGACTAGTATCTTTTTTTCTGTCTTTTTGAGACAGGGTCTTGCTATGCAGTTCAGGCTGGCTTTGACCTCACTTTGTTGCCCAGGCTGGTCTCAAACTCACAACGATCCTTCTGCCTCAGCCTCCTGAGTGCTGGGACTACAGGCGTGCACCACCATGCCCAGCTAGTATCTCTTACGAACACTGACTCAAAAATTCTCAACAAGATACTAACAAATTGCATTCAGCAGCATATTAAAAAGATTCCACATCACAACATAATTCAACACTCTTTCATGATAAAAACACTTGATAACTGGGAATAGGAGAAAACTACCTCAATATAACAAAAAGCAATATAATACAAAAGCCTATGTTGAGTTAGTATCATTCTTAAGTGGTAAAAGATTGAAAATTTTCCTCTGTGATAACTGCTCTCACCACTTCTATCTGACATAATGTATTCTAGCCAGAGCACTTAGGCACATAACTAAGTAAATAAAATACATCCAACTGAAATCAAAAAGTAAAGATATATGGTCTTTATGAACATATATGTTTAGATATATGATCTGGTACATAGAAAACCAAAATAGATTAATAAACAAATGAGCAAAGGAGCAAAGATATAAAATCAACAGACAAAAACCAGTTGAGTTTCTATACACTAATAATAAACAATCTGAAAAGGAAATTAGGAAAATAACTCCATCTGAAATAACATTAGAAAAAAAAAAAAGTATTAGCTTAGTGAGGTGGTTGACACTTTGAATTCCAGCACTCAGAAGACGGAGGCAGGAGGAAAGCCTGGGTGTTGTGGTTTATCTCCTGTGCTCAAAGGTGGAGCTTGGGGGAGATGACTGGGTCATACGTATGTGATACGCATCACTGATGGGCTTATAGCTGATGTGATGCTGGAGGTGAGGTTTGGTGGGAAAAGGTGGATTACGATGAGTATGGCCTGCAAAGGTAAATAAATAAATATATACACTGGTGTGTGTGTGTGTGTGTGTGTGTGTGTGTGTGAGCGCGCACGCACGTGTATATATCCATCCTTCTTCCTCCTTTGATACAGCTTTCAACTTCCTGCCTCCAATGCCATGAACTCTTTCCCCTCTACCATGCTGGCCTGCCTTGGAATCAGCTGACTATGGACTAAAACCTCTATAAAAATAAACCTTCTTTCCTTTACGTTGTGGCTGCTGGGTATTGTACCTCAGAGATGAGAAAAGTAACTAAGGCACTGGGCTACACAGTGAGCACGATATTAGCCTAACCTATATAGGGAGACCCTGACTCAGAAAAAAACAAACTAAAACAAAACAAAATAATAAAATACCATCAACAAGAGTAAAATACACAGAATTAGCTTAACCACTGAGGTGAAAGACATATAAAACTAAAAAATTGCTGAAAGAAATGAAAGCATAAATCAATGGAAAAGTAGTTATGTTCATGGTTTAGAAGACTTAATATTGTGAAGATATCAATACTACCAAAAGTGATTTATATACTCACTATAATCCATACCAAAATTCCAATATTTACTGAAATAGAAAAAAATCCATTGTAAAATTCATATGAAGCACGCCTGTAATCCCAGTACTCGGGAAGCTGAGGAAGGAGGACTGCTGTGAGTTCAACTCACTATGTAGCCTGGGCTACATAGTGAGTTCAGGACCAGCCTGAACTACATAATGAGACTCTACCTCAAAAAACAAAACAAAAAATCATATGAAGAGGGACAGGAGGGGAAGGAGATGTAAAAAGAATTAAGACATTACATATATATGTATCAATTCCTCATGGTGAATGTAATCATTATGTACTAACAAAAATTTTTTTAAAAATTCATATGGCAACTAAGGGACTCTCAACAGCCAAAGCAATACTGAAAAAGAATGATATGAGAAAACTCACAATTACTAATTTCAAAAATTTACTACAAAGCTACAATAATCAAATCAACATACTGCTGAGATAAAGACAAACATAAGACCAATGGATGAGAATAGACAGTCCCGAAATAAACCTTCACATATATGGTCAAATAATGTTCGACAAGTGTGCCAAGAACATTCTCTGGGAAAAGGACAGTATTTTCAACAAATGATACTGGGAAAACTCATTATATATACACAAAAGAATGAAACTGAACTCTGAGATAATACCATATACAAAATTAAATCAAAACAGACTAACAGGGACTTGGGAAAGTACTTCGGTGGTATTGCACATGCCCAGCATGCACAAGGCCCTGATCAATCCCAGCACTACAATAAACAAACAAAAAGAACAAATCAACCCTCTAGAAATCAATCTAAACTTCAGATCTAATACTATAAAACTTTTGGGAAAAAAATGGAGAAATCTTCATGACATTAGATTTGGAAATGTTTCTGAAGGATGACATCAAACGTACAAGCTACGCGAAAAAGAAACATTAGCCGCCATCAAAAATTAAACTTTGGGGCCAGGGTTGTAGCTCAATGGTACAGCACTTGTCTAGCATGCATGAGGCTCTAGATTCACTCTCTAGAGCTGAAAAAAATATCTTTTGAGCAGTAAGGGACACTAACAAAACTGAAACCCACAGAATGAGAGAAAATACTAGCAAATTATGCCACTGATACCTACATAGAAAACTTGTAAAACTCAACAATAAAACCAAAAACCTAATTCAAAAGTAGGCAGAAGATTTAAATAGACATTTCTCCAAAGACATACAAATACCCAATAAGCATAAGAAAAGACAGGATCATTAATCAGTAGAGGAATGCAAATCAAAATCACAGTAAGATCCTACTTCACACCCTTTAGAATGGCTGTTTAATTATTGGCTGGCCTTGAATTCACATATATAGCCCAGGTTGGTGTCTAACTCACAGCAGCTCTCCTGCCTCAGCTTCCCAAATACTGCATACTGCGATCACAGGCCTGTGCCACCACGCCCAGCTAGGCTGGCCATTATTATGATTTTTTTTTTTTGGTACCAGGAATCAAACTCAGGACCTTGTGCTTGCCAGGCAGGCGCTTATGCTGGGGAGCTATATCCTCAGCCCTTGGGCTGGCCATTATTTAAAAAAAAAGAACAAGGTCCTTGCCTGTAATCTCAGCACTCTGGGAAGGTGAGGCAAGAGGATCTCAAATTCTAGCCCAGCCTGGACAACTTAGCAATTTAATGAGACTAGTCTCAAAAAAATGAAAAACAGGGCTGGAGATATGGCTCACAGGGAAGACTCTAGATTCAATCTCCAGTACTGGTGGCGGGGAGATTAGAACCTTGTACACTGCTGCCATGAAAAAGTTTGGTGGTTACCTAAAATGTTAAAAACAAAAACCCAAAACATTAAAAACAGAATTACTGTATGATCTAGCAATTCTACTTGTGGATATATATCCCAAAGAAATGAAAGCAGGAACACAGATACTGGCACATCCATGTTTATAGAGCAGAAAAAACTCAAGCGTCCACTGATAGATGAATGGACAGATAAAATGTGTCACATGCATGCAACAAAATATTCAGTCTTAAACACTCCTGGCCCAGTGCAACCCTCTGAAGTCTACAGCGATGCTGCCTGCCTTACTAGGGGCTTCCCTGCTCCGCCCACCAAGCTGCCTTTACCTCCACTGCACTACCGGGCTTTGTTCAGTCCTTGGCAGTGCTACAGCAACAATCCCTGAAATCTCCCTAGAATGTGACACCTTAACCTGAGATCGCAACCTCCTCCCTTCCTGGGGGCACAGCCAGATGCTGCCTGATATAAAAGCCCTGATCCACAGCACGGAATGCAAAGACAGGCTTCTGCCAAAGCTTCAGTGTGCCCTAGCGCTCCACAAGACACTTCCCCTAGCTCAAGGCCAGCAGCCACCTACCTTGATGATAACACGCTGGTCAGACTGGTCCTCCAAGATGCTGTCTGTGGGGTAGGACTCAATCTGCTGTCTGATGGCAGAGGCAATAGCTGGTACAAATGTCAGTGGGTTCAAATCCAAGTCATCACAGAGGATTTCTGAAAACATCTCAGGGGTCATCAGCTTCTCTGGAATCAGGAGAGAGGAAGAGCATCATAACAGATTACAAGACGTCATCTCCTCCTGCTCAGGCCAGGCTTCGTTCCTCTGTCTTCCTTGTCTGCCAAGCCTCCCACATGCAGATGTGGATGACTGTGGAGCTGAAGGGCGCCCTTCTGGGAACTGACAGTAGAGGAGGAGGCACATGCCAAGTATCCCTCCTTTTGGCCCTCACTTTGCAAATACCTCCTCTTCCACGGCCATGGGATTTCTCCTAGTGATAACATCTTACCAAACCAGGTATCATCTCACAACCAGAAAGCTGGCCAAGTCAAAATCCAGCACATTTCCATCACTGCCAGGACCACTGATGTTGTCCTTTTGTAGCTACACTTACTTCCCTTCCACTCTTACCCGCTCCTAAACCCCTGGCAACAACCGATTTCCATTCGTATAATTTTATCATTTCAAAAATGTCATACAAATGGAACCATACAGAAGGTAGCTTTGGGGAATTACCTTTTTTCACTCAGCAAAATTCTCCAGAGATTCATCCAAACTGTTACTTCCTTTTTACCGACAAGAAGCATTCCACAATACTGAGAGATCACATTTTGTTTAACTGTTCACCCACTGAAGGGCATCTAGGCTGTTTCCAGGCTCTGGCTAGTGAACAAAACTGTTATAAACATCTGTGTGCAGGCTTTAGTATAAAAAGAAGTCTTTGTTTCTCTGGGATACATGCCCAGGACTGCAACTGTTGGGCCATATAGTTGTTGCATGTTTGGTCTTTAAAACTACCAAACTGCTTCAAGAGTAGCTGAGCCATTCACATTTCCACCAGCAGTGCATATAAGTGACCCAGCTCTTCCACAACCTCACCAGAGTTTGGTGTTGTCCCTACTTTTTATAGCTGTAGAATGATACTGTAGTTTTAATTTAATTTCCCTAAGAGCCTACAAGATAGAACAGCTTTCCCATGTATTTGCCCTGTATTTATCTTCTTCAGTGAAATCTCTTCATGTCTTTGCCCATGTTCTAATTGGATTTTCCTTTCCACTGATGAACTTCAAAGTGTAGATTCCAGTTCTTTTTCAGACATGATTTCCAAATATGTTGTTGTTTCCCGGTACCGGAGAAAAACCGAAAAACAAAAAAAAACAAAAAACAAAACAAAACAAAAAAAAACCAGTAAGGGGCTGGGGATTTAGCTCAGCGGCAAAGCGCCTGCCTGGCAAGCGCAAGGT